AACAAACCGTATCGACCAGTCACTATTCTGCCTGTAATTAGCAAAGTGTTTGAAAAAAGTTTATGTCCTCAGTTAACCTCTTACTTTGAAACTATCTTCCCAGCCACCCTAACTACCTACCGAAAGAACCACAGCTGCTGTACTACCTTGCTGAGACTGACTGAAGACTGGAAAACTGAACTAGATTCAAACAACATTGTTGGAACGACATTAATTGACCTCAGCAAAGCCTTTGATCGCCTCCCTCAAAATCTACTACTTGAAAAGCTTGCAGCGTACGGTGTCAGCCTAGAAAGCCTAGAGCTACTGGCAAACTATCTGAAAAACAGAACACAATGTGTTAGGCTAAATGTCATTCGTTCACGCACCGAAAAGATAAGGTCAGGTGTTCCACAAGGGTCTGCATTAGGCCCGCAGCTATTCAACATTTTTATAAACGACTTGTTCTACAACATTAAAAAAGCCAAACTATCCGCTTATGCAGACGACAAACAACTTTACTGTAGTAACGCAAACGCGAGAATTGTACAGAGGATCCTAAATTCTGAACTAGCTGTAGTTTCAAGCTGGATCAAGGGCAACGGCCTACTTCTAAATGCTAAGAAATGTGAATCCTTAGTCTTCCCAAAATCAAACCTCCAACGTAACCAAGCAAAGAAAGACAAAATCAGCTTCGTGATTGATGGAACATCTATACAACCCTCTACCACCTCCAAACTCTTGGGCGTGCTTATAGATGACCGGCTGAATTTCAACAATCACGTAGCTTCACTATGCAAGAAGATTAGCAAGCAAATTGCAATCATATGCCGGTTTAGAAAACTTCTTAGCTTTCAAACCAAGCTTACACTATATAAGGCTTACATTCTTCCTCACTTTACCTATTGTTCCACAGTGTGGATGCACTGTGAAAAAACAACATTGGCTAAACTTGAAAAACTCAACGAGCGTGCTTTAAGATCAGTCCTTAACAACAGCACTAGTACCTATAGTACTCTACTTGAAACAGTAAATATGCCCACATTGCACAACAGAAGAGTCCAGGACATGTACATTCTTATATATAAAGTTATTCACGGGACAACATCAAATCCACTTCGTACTCTGCTGACGCTTAGAAACAACTCACACAACCTACGTGGCGAACTGATTCTTGTACAACTAGAGTCAACACTACTAAGCATGGGCTAAATACTTTCAAGTACCTGGTCCAAAAATCTGGAACTCTTTAAATAATGACTTAAGAACTTCACGAACACTAAAAGAGTTTGTAACACGCATCAGGAAAATTACTTTTGACGTATGTAATTGTACCCTTTGTAGCTCTTAGACTTAAAGTAATTTTTACTCTGGATGTAGTTTTAGTAGCCTATCTTTTCAGTAGCATGTATATAGCTATATTAGTGTATTTAATAATGTTATTAACTGGTTGATTAATTAATTAATGAATTAGTTAACCTTATATTTACTTATTTTCTCTGAATTTTTATTGTAAAATTTTTAGTATTATATTTCATTTATTTTCTACTCGATTCATTAGCTATCTAAGCGAGGTGCCTGACAAGCTCCATAAATTTAGAGTATAAATAAATCTACATCTACATCTACCACCGAAGCAGGTAAGCCGTGGTCAGAAGATCCTTTTAAATATCGCCAACAACTTTGCAAGCGTCTGGATGATTTGAGAAGAGAAGAAAATTTTTGCGATGTGACAGTCGCTATTATTTCCCAGGACTTCAAAGCTCACAAATGCGTTCTTGCTGCAGCGAGCCCATTCTTCTATTCACTCCTTCAAAGCGACATGAGGGAAACCAAAGAACATCGTATCAAATCAGAGCTCGAGGAAGCAACGAGGCAGTCATGCAACTGAGAAGTCTTACAGTACGTTTACACTGGAAATGCCACGGCTACCGAAGACACTGCTTACAATTTGATGGTATCTGCGGATTATCTTTATCTACCAAGCTTTAAAACCGTGGTCGGTAGGTTTTTGAGCGAAAAACTTGACAACTGAAAACTGCATTTTTAGTCACTATTTTTCTGAAAAGTACCGCTGTGCCGAGTTGATGGAAAAAGCTTGTGAAGTGGTTAACTCAAACTTTACTGCTGTTATGGAAACAGATGATTTTCTAAGCCTCAACATGAATGAAGTGGTTAAGTGGCTGTCCAGTGACGATGTTTTCGTTAGTGCTGAAAGACATCTTTAAAGGAATTGGTGAGAAAGACGTCTTTAATGGAATTGTAAGGTGGATCAATCAAGACAGAAGTGAAAGAGAGGATTATTTTCTGGAGATACTATCTCAAATGCGCCTCAACTCTATATCTCGTGAATGTCTTCTAGAACTAATTAAAGAAGATCTCCTAGCTAAGAATACTGAAATCTGTGTGACGTTTCTGGTGGAAACCATCAGATCAATGCCATGTGAAAATAATTGATGTAATCTTCCAAAACCTAGAAAATGCCTACAAGTAGACACACACAGAGATGTTATCTTTGTTTGTGGAGGTGTCACAGCTTTGTGTTATTTTCCAGATCGTGAGGTATGGTACAAACTAGCAGACATGAATTTTAGGCACAATCATGAACTGAATCCAACCCAGTGCAGGAGTAGGATTTACATTGGCTGCGAAACAAAGAGCAATTTAAAATTATTGGAATGCTATGCACCTGTGCACAACTTCTGGAGTGGATATCAGGTTACCCACAGCTTCACCTCTACCGTGGTTTTAAAGTTACTCGTATGCAATCTTTGAAAAATCTTCATTTTCCTACAGCAAGTGTTTGCACAGATATGATCCAGAGAACAACTACTGTGATGAACTGAGGGGCCCGTCTACTTTTCGCCAAAATGCTTGCATTGTTGCTGATGATCAGTACCTGTATGTCATCGGTGGTTTTAAAAGGGGAGAGGTCTTAGCAACAACTGACAGATTTCACCCTCATAAGGGGGCGTGTGAGGAAGTCAGACCAGTTAATGAGGCAAGGAGTGCAGCTTGTGGGAATGCTTTGAATGGCAAGGTTTATGTGGCTGGTGGGTGTCATGGGGCAGAAGCACTCAAGACTTGCGAAGTTTACGATCCTACGACTAATGAATGGCAACTGATGCCTAGCCTGTTAAATCCTGGTGCTTATGCTAGCATGGTGACTTACAAAGGAGATCTGTATGTGTTAGGTGGCTTCAGATCTCGTGGTAATCCTAAATCAAGAGTACTGTCCATTGAAAAATTTGATGCCGAGCAGAGTGTGTGGAGAGAGAATTCAGTTATTCCAGTTGAGTCCTTGGAAACTCGAGACATGAAAAATAAAGGTCCATTCGAGGCTTGCTTTGCAAGGCTAAATAAAAGAGATATCATCCGCTTTGAATCATTTAAGTATAAATCAACATGCGAAACATGCGAGACAGTTCAGTTAGAACAAGATGATTATTGTCTTTAAAGTAAAGACTCTTCTCAGTTATGACCCATACTAAGTTAAATGTTGGCCAAAGCAATTCCATGCTATGTCTAGAGTAGTTTTTCATAAACATTTATTGCAGCACCTGTGTAAAAACCAGGCCCACCCGGATTTAATTCTTTAACTCCTTCGAGTGACCAAGACAGAATTTGTCCTTACAATATCAATACAAAATCAAGCAGACACGTGACGAGAATAGAGAAAAATATCAAATAGGGAATTATTAGTTGATCCAGTACCAAATTCTCCAAACCAATATCATAAAAATTGTACATTAGACAGTAAGGAGAATTTCTGAACATGTCTTGGGAGTGAAAGGGTGAAAAACCAACACAATTTGAGATTTATGGAACATGCAGCTAATCAAACATTGCACATGACTCTCTTTACTGTAGCCTCTGTATTTATTACCTCTCTGAATTTTAATTAATTGTGCTCTTTACAATCAATGCATTGATGTTTTTAAACATCTACTGCATTGATTGTAAAAAGCACATCATTTATCCATCGTACTTTAATTTGTTTAAGTTTAATTCATTCGCCACAGGAATGGCAGAAGAAAGGAACAGAACTTTCGTTCCAATTGACACCTGACCCCCTTTTTACCCACCTATCCCACCCCAGGGAGGACATCCATCACACAGTAATCTCGTGTGTGGGAAATTAACGTCTCCTATCCCAACCCTGCAGGAGACGGGACCTCCATTTAACGTCCCTATCCGAAAAGACTAGAAAGTCTAACCATTTGCAGATATTATTACAAAGGCAGCACTTTCTTCTCAGTTAATTAATGACCCCGAGTGTTGGTCCGGCCGGATTTGAACTCACGATCTCCCGAACAACAGTCCGGCGCTCTACCAATTGAGCTAACCCAATTTGCAACCTGAAGCATACTACTACGGTAAGGAAAAACATTGGCAATTTGAATTTTAGATCGAACTTACCTCAAAGTAAATAAATTTAATATCACCAGGAAAGGAATAGAATACCTGAATGATTGGTGTTCAATCTCTGGGTGAGTGACTCCCTGTTCCCAGACCCCCTCCCCCCACTAGGGGAACACATACAGCGGGCTTTGGTAGGTCCCACTCAGGCCTTTTTTAGAATGATATTGTAAAACTAGCCTTTTTGAAAAACAATTTATAGTGTCATTAAAGGGAATCTTGGCTGAATAACAAAGTTCTAAACCATAAGTTTGGGATGATGTAAACTACACTTGATGGGTTAAAGCATGGACTCATGTTTAAAGCAAAAAAATTCTTCAAATGGTTTGAATACTGGGCATTTCATTTTCAGACTTTTTACCTTCACATTTTCCACTAACAGCCGTGTTTCACCTCGAAAAGTTTCCTGAGAGGTCAATATGACATCTGTTTACTTGCCACTTGATTTCAATATGACAGCAGGCAGAACTTTTAAATGAAAAAGTAAACATTTCAGATTTGATCTAGTTTTGGAAATCTTGAAGAGGAACCAGAGAGACACTTTTTCAGCCAATATTCCCTTTATGGTAGAACCTTCATTTTGCAGATAAAACAAACAAGAATTGAGTAGTGTATGAAGCTTTTATTAGAGAAAAAAATTCATTAAAGAATTGCTCCTTTCATATTTCATTCACAACTTTCTAACACGGAAAACTCCACAGCCCTTTCCCCATCTTGACCGAATGCTGGTATTATCCACAGAACGAAGTACACATTGTTTTCTTCACACTATCTGACAGATTCCCCTTTACTCCAGGGGTAGCCCTAATGCCTTGAAAAGGAAAGCATACTCTTTTGCAGCCTAAGAAAAAAGTAAAAAAAAAAAAAAATTTCAATTCTTTTCATTATTTACTGAATTTTATTTTAAATTGTTAGAATAAGAATGCATTTTGATTAGAGTGGTTTGACCTGTAGCAAGGATTAGATGTTGTTTGCGTATAAGAAATGGTACAGCTGTACTTTGTACATGTAGTTTGATAAAAGTGCGGTGAATATATACATGTCCTGGTATACTAAAATGTGTCAAAATCTATCTACATTATTTGCATAATTATAATAGAGTGGATAAAACTATCACGTGAAGTTGGGAAACTAAAGTTCTAGTAACTGTTGGATATGAAAAAAAAAATGATTGGATCAGTGGATCATCAGGAAAACTTGACAGTTTGTCAGGAAGTTTCTTGTGAGGGAGTGGCATTCCCTTGAAGGGCAGTTACAATACTCCAACACAGTAATTGTTTGTTTTGCCTACAGGTTGTTTTGTTAACATCTTGGGTCATTTGGCCAACATCTCAAGACAATTTGCTAATGTCTAAAGGGTTGTTTTGCTGATGTCTTACACAAAACATTTAATAGTTATTCCATCCGCAGAACTTGCACCTAATCTAATTGTAATTGACCAGAAAGTTGTAAGGGAGTTGAATTGTTTCAAAACACACTGAAAGTTGATTCAATACAAATAGCTGACTCACAACAAACTGAAGTCGATTTGATACATGCAGAAAGTACAACTCAAGTCACTTCGATACAAAGGGAAGGGTGGATTGGAGATCCCTACTTCAAAGAAAACAGAACTGACAAGACACAAGAGAATTAACCTTTCATGTTAGTGAAACAACCAAAAAAAAACCTCACTGAACTGACTCGAGACATTGGTAAAAAAGCCTAGGACCTTAGCAAGCTGTTCGTTAGCGAAACAATTCATGCACATGACATGTAGATGCTTCATTCTATGGGTATCTGAACTAGTATAAGCTCTACCAATATCTGCCACTTAGATTGAAAAGATCTAAATTCTGTGAAGCCCCTTTAAAAAAGTATAGTGGAGAAAGCAAAGGATGTAGTAAACCTGCCTTTTCAATTCTGTGGTACACTCCTTCTGTTTCCGAGTGTCCTCCATAATATTCAACACAACACACAACAAGCGGCTTTTCTCCCTGGGCGTGGTACGACAACTGATCTCTCAGTCGAGCAACCCACTTCAGGGGCAGCCAGTATGGCACACGATCATCATTCATTGCAGTGGTCACCATCACTGAGGGGTACAGCTGTGGATTATGCAATATTAACAATACAACGGTTTATATAATTACATTTAATTGCATTCCATGATCATATTCATGGGAGATACCCTAGCGGAATGGTTAGTGCACTGGGTCTTGCAGTCCAGTTTTGAGACCTGGTGGGGTCATTTGAGTTGTGTTCTGGAGAAAAAAAAAACTTGTACTTTCACACACAGTGCCTCTATCTCTCCACCCCGGAGTAGAGATGAGTACTGGCAGTGGACTGGTCAATTATCACAAGTCATGACTTGTGAGTTTTCCTTCAGGCAAAAATTAATAAAAAAGACTGGATAATTATTTTGAATTTTACAGGAAAATTCATTACTTGACAAGGCAATTCCCCATTAAATTGCACACAAAAACCGGCTCGCACAAATCAGAAAGCAATGAGTACGATATCAGTTTTCAAGTGCAATTTAATGCGAAATTTGTGAGTCAAGTATTGGATTTTCCTTGAATCACGTAATTGAATAACATTAGGAAAAAAGGAAAACAGCATTACATATTATTATAGTTGTTATGTATGTAGATGTGAAAAAATACCACTTAGCCTTGTTTTCAACTTGCAATTCCATGCTAAATACCTCCTTTTGTTAACCAATTAGAATGCAAGATTTTATCAAATGATGCGATTCCATCCTAAATATTTCAACATAATAAGATTTTCATCACTGTGCCAAAACTGTACCTGATCTCTTATGTTCTGATATGGACAGTACGATTTGATGTAATGAAAGTCACTTTCATTGGACCTGAAAAATAAAATTGCAGACATTCAGTTTTTATAATAGTTGACAAGTACAAGAACAGGGATGCATGGATGACAAAACTTATGATGAAAGTGTCTCAAATGATGCTAACCCTATGAACAGACTCATTAGTGCTTTGAATGCATTGGCCTTGTCATTTGTGTCACAGCCCAAATGCAAGCCTACACACAAGGTACAGATGATGGTACTGGCCAGATTGTTACCCAGATTGTACTTGGCCAGATTGTTACCCACAGCAGTCTGTTTCAGGAATAACCCCACCTGAGCTGTCAGTTTGTCACACTGTGTGACCATTATTGCACAGCAATCTTTTAAAATCTTCAAAAATAATCTCACATGCATTCGCAAGTACATATTGAGAACAGTTTCATTCTGGAAACAAACATGTCATACCCTGGCTCACCCCACTCCTCATATTCCTGAACTGTCAGCGGAAGAGAAGGGTCTAACATTGACATCAAAATGTCTAAAAATGGAACCTGTCAGAGAAAGCTCTGATTATTAACAGTGTAATGATGGCTTGCAAATAAAGATCTGATGCACCAAAAGAGCTTTCTAAAGGATAGAGGATGGTTTTATAAAATTACACTTAAGTATTAAAAAAAATTGGTGTTTGTATTTTCTCAAACTCTATAGCTGATGAAATCCTGAATAACACTTTAATTAATACTGGTACCCAAGCAGTAACAACAAGCTGAGCAATAAACATTACGATCAATTGTCTGCATCATCAATATTGTCATCAACATTAATATTGGCTTCCTCATCAACGTCATGATTGTTAGCATCATCATCATAAAAAAAAAAGCATGGACAACAACAGAAACATACTGCATTCTATAAAAGTGGTTTTACCTTGAGAATAACAGCCTTAAATAACTCAGGTGATCTGTTACAGACCGCCCCCACTATCAATCCTCCAGCACTTGTTCCACGTGCTGCTGTCAACTGTGGGTTGGAATACCCCAGATTATGCAATGCTTTTGCACAAGCTTCAAAATCCTGCAAGGTGAAAGACCTATCATTTTCCAACAAAATGCTCTAGAAAGCAACAAAATTTACAAGCTGTAAAACGACACTTGCCATGGAATGAAAAGTGCATACATGTACCTCAAAGCCTTTATGTTTATTCTGTAACTTTCCATCTAAGTACCACTCCCGTCCAAGTTCACCACCACCTCTGAAGAACACCGATCTCGTTTTTATTCAAATAATAATGATGTGTTTAAATATTAAAGTGAGAAACATGAGAAGTATAGCAGCGCAGACCCATTGAGCAAAGATCTATTTATTCTCGTTTCTGTTTAAGATTTTATCCCACAATCGATGATATTCAATAACACTTGATTCAATAAGAAATCTTGGAAAACATAACTAAGTAAAAAATAGAATGAAAAAAAATCAACAACCCCACTTATAACAATCATTTTCTAGTCACATGGGTTAGATTACACTGTATTATAATAAATAAATTACCTGACATGGCAAAAGGCAAGACACCAGCCCCGCTTTAACAAACTGATCCTTTCCACATCAAAACCCATGTTGACATTGATACCATATGAGCCTACAACAGACAGGTTATGAAATATTTAACTAGTGTACAGTAATTCACCTTGAGAAAGATATAATTGAGAAAACTGTTAATTTATGTTCTGCTTACCTGTGAAGACAGAGCTATAAGTTAAAGCAAGTTTTGAAAAAAAGGTACATTACCATAAACGTGTAGAAGTAAGGGATTGCTTCCTTCCTTTTTCAGATCTTTGCGATGAAATAAAGTGACAGGTATGTGAGTTCCATCCTAAAAATCAAAATAACCAAAAAATATAATTTAAAGTCATCAAAGGAATAATTCTGTATGACTTGTGACCTCTCAAATGGCAAAATATAGTTTTACATTTGCCTATCTGTTGAAACAAATGAATTTGTTGGTCATCTGTTTGGTTTTGAAAAGAATTTTTTGAATGAATGTTAGCCAAATCTTATGGCTGACCAATGGGTTTTGACAAATAGGATGAATTTTCAAGACATTCCTTCAAATTATCCTCGGCAGCACACTGACAAAGTCAAATATACTCATCCTCAGAAAATCATAATTTTGCAAGAAAAGCTACAAATTCTGATGCACGAGACATTTTAACTGTAGCTGCAGTGGATATGCAGTACTTTTAGTTTGTATCATGATGCCGATGGTTTTAATTTTTGTTCTTTATTTCTTTACCCTTTATTTCAAACTCATTGTTACACAAAATCAAAAAATGTTCATGGTAGGTAGAGAGATTTTCCAGTAATGGTCCAAGTGCTGCTATTTGGGGATGGATACATGTATGTCAGGTTGCTAAATGGTTGTTTGACAATTCTTGTCATAAATTTTCACTTGTATTGTGTATTCTTGATATACATGTCTGGGGATTACTAGCCTGGGTACTGCCGCTTCCTATCCTCCAAAAGAAAAAAATAGCAAAGGGGGCAGCTGTACATAGGCTACAGATAATTAACAACTATTCACCGAAGTGAAGGTGGTTAGCAGTGGATATTTACCGAGCTGCAAAGCGGCGAGGTAAATATCCACCGCTAACCACCAACACTGAGGTGAATAGTTGTTTTAGTATATACTAAAACATTGAGATAATGTACACCACCAAAAATTGATTTTAATTCATACATTCCAGCAACGATTCCAACATTTTCCCGCGCGTAACGATCTAACGCGGCTCGGATAGCGGTAAGTGAGTTTTTTTTTTTGTGAAAACTGCCGTCTGGTTTTTTCGCTGACAGATAAAATTTCTGAAGACATTTCTTTAGCTCTGGTGGCGAAATTTCTTCAAATGGTGTTGTAAACTCTTTCTATATTGGAAACCATTCTGTAAAAAATACCATTCAACTTTGATTTTCAAGTGAACAAGTGAGGTGCGCAAGATTAATTTGCATTTGTAAACTAAACCTTTTTCATTGGTTTTTATCGATAACTCCCGGTTACCATTACCTTTAAACACGGCCAAACCAAATTTAGTCGCTTTCTCTGTGTTTTCAGGGACTGCTTCCTCGTTATTTAAGTGATTTCTTCGCTTGTCACGGATGCAAACCGGCAGGCCATTTTTTCCCGAGTTGCTCTGAGGTAAATAGCAACGGATATTCGGAGTTTGACTAGCCAATCAGAGCGCTCCTTCAATGCTATCCACTGTTTTAGTATATACTAACAAGCATTAGTATATACTAAAACAGTGGATAGCATTGAAGG